GTACAGTCTCTTGTAGAGGTACCGGGTGAATTTATTCTGTATTCGCTCTAGCATGAGACTGTATTTAGCCTCATATGGGGCCCACACCATTGCATTGCACTCCAAGTGACTTCTGACTAACGCATTGTATAAAATTTTAATCGCACTAATATTTGTGAAGCCACAAGCTATTCGCAGTATGAACCCCAAATTTCTGTATGCCTTTTTGCATGTTTTATCGACGTGTTGCGCAAACCCAAGATTGGCATTAAAATATATTCCTAGATCTTTAACCTCCGATACTCTAGCCAACGTTAGACCACTAATAGTATAATTGTATCGAGTGGGAAATCGTGCTCTCGAGAAAGATATGACTTTGCATTTCGCCAAATTAAACTCTAATCTATTTCTCCTGCTCCAATTTACCACTCGATCAATGTCTTCCTGCAGCCGCATACAGTCGTCTGTACTTTCTATGGGCATGTAAAGTTTGATATCATCAGCGAAGAGCAAGCACTTTGCATTCTTGACAACTTTTGGTAGGTCATTCAGCATTATCATAAATTCCATCGGTCCCAAATTACTGCCCTGTGTCACGCCTGATCTCGTAAAGTAAGCCTCTGACCTACACCCAGCGTATTCCACGTATTGCGTTCGATCTTCCATAAAGCTAGCCATGAAGTTCAATGAGTGTGGAGTGAATCCTACCTGTGCAAGCTTCTGCAAAAGCACGTCGTTATCGACCAAATCAAACGCTTTTTTAATATCGAAATAGGCAGCGTCCACCTGCTTTCCACTGTCCACTACTGGGCTAATATTAGCCATATAATTTAAGAGGTTGCTAGTGGTACTCCTCGTAGACCGAAACCCGTGTTGAGCTTCTGAGAGTTGGGAACTCACTTGATTAAGTATGCACTTTTGAAGTGCCGTTTCCAACACCTTCGCCGGACTTGACAATATAGCTATCGGCCTATACTGTTCTACTTTATCGCGGCATCCTACTTTAGGAACTGGAATTACCCGACTGCTTTTCCAACATGTGGGAAATGTTGCTGCTTTCAGACACAGGTTATATATGTGTAGCAGTGGTTCAGCAAGTACAACGCCACAATCTCTCAAGATATAAGGCGGTATACCGTCCGGACCTGCTGCCTTTTTTGGCTTAAGTCGCTTAAGTGCCTCCTGTATATCGCTTAACTGTAAGCTCCCAACGTGGACTCTTGCAGCCCCGTTTGAACAAACCGCTCCGGCAACAGCTGCGCTGACGTCAAGCTTTGGCTTTTGCGTAACATAAACAGAGCTAAAATACTCGGCAAATGCTTTAACACTCCTATCCGGCGGTAGTACCTCTCCGTTCTCAATAATACCTGATGGTTCTCTATTGACTCTGTTACTATTAATAAATCTCCAGAATGACTTGGGATCTTTAATCACATTTGATTCAACAGCCTTAGTATAATTTTCAAGAGCCAATGCAATTAATTTCTTGACTTCAGCTCTGCAACAGCTAAACTCTTTGTAATCTCTTGGGGATTTAGTGACCTTGTATCTCTTATGCAGCGTGGCTTTTTGTTTAATTTTTTTAATTACCTCCTTTGTGTACCATTTTGGATATAAATACCTTGAGTATCCTAGGTTCCTGGAATTTTTTGGCACGCATTCCTCAAACACAGAGTTTAACTTATAATAGAAGCAATCGAGACTCAGATTTAAATCAGACGAGTATACATCAGACCAATCCACTTCTCTAACCTTAGAATACAATGCATTAAAATCAGCTTTCTTAAAATTCCACTGTAACAAGCGCTCACCCGTTTTTGCCGAATCATCCCTTGAAGAAACCGCCCAAATGCGTGGACGCACGCACACAAGAAGCGGTGGATGCTGATCGTCTACAGGTACTAAAGGTTCATCCATCTCACACACCCCAACGCTTTGCATTCCCCTACCTTTGCTCAAAACCAAGTCTAATAGACGGCCATTAACATTTTGTATATTGTTACACTGACTGAATTCACAATAGTTACTAAAGTAATTCCAAAAATAAGTATTTACATTGTTTGAACAAGAATATAAATTAAAGTCACCGATCACTAATACATCATCATACTTGGAACAAAATTCTTCAATTGTTTTGAGCAATAAAAAGTATTCATCATCATTTGTATTTGGAGGAGTATAAACAATACATAACATAAACATGAATCTACTTTTTAAATAGACAGTTGCACAAACTATTTCAAACGGGCGAGATTCAATATGCAAATCACAGGGAAAAATTACGCGGCGCAGTTCCAGGCGTGGGGAAGCCACGAGACATACGCCACCATGCTTGCGCCCATCCACGCGGTCACATCGTAATACCGTATATCTGGGAGGAACTAACTCAGCGTCAGCTATCGAATCATTACATCCTGTTTCCGTAACTGCAAACAAATCTACAGAGATTGATGAGACACTCATATAAAATTCCTTTAACTTGGTCCGAAGACCCCTCACATTTTGGTAACATATCTTAATAGGTCTACTTCCATCGTTTTGGGTTATTTGGTGATCTCCGAAACCACACCCAATCACAATATTCAACATTAATAGGCCAATTATCCGGTTTACATAATAACTCATATTCATATTCTGGTACCCCGATAATGAATGATGCGTAATCCTTTTCTCTTTTATGATTAATTTTTTCAACTCTTATAGACACTTCCCTAGCATATATGACGTTCTTAACATAGTTCTCCAGACATTCTAAACTTGTCTCTTTGTTTAGACGCCACACATGCAGAAACTTTTTCCGCTCAGCTCCACAAATCTCCACTACATCGCTTCTACCTCCTTTTTTTACCTCACAGCTGGGGTATTTTCCACGTTGATATTTTCCAACTCTTTCATTTGTCTTATCGCCACAGTTTTCCCTTTCAACATTGGTTTCCATTTCTTGTTCTTTATTTCTACGTGCTACATCTTCAGTTACCCTATTTGTTTTCCCCGTAACAGCACTCTGCTTTAAGTTGTTGTTTTTTATTTGGCTCGAGCTCTGTTTTGCAGCATTCGCAAACGAGACCACCGGTGGAGTACCTATCTCACATAGTGTTCCGGTTATCGGGCTCTTATCCAAAGAACAGTTCTTAAGGTAATTTTCATTTTGTTTCAATTCATGGACCTGTAGTGCATCCACTTCAAAGGTCTTCTCCTTTATAACCCTCATACTTTTTCGTAATTCTTCTAATTCTCTTTCAGATTTGTTAAATCTTCCCTGGAGTTCCTTATATTGCTTTCCTTGTTCTTCAAAACGGCTATTCATTTCCTGACGAAAGTCCTGCATCTCTTTCAGCAAAATACTGTGGTACTTTTGGATCAAAGCTTCAATGATTCGTGGACTTGCCTTTTTTGGTGACATAGGATCCTGTATCTCCTCACTTATATACCGATCCCCTTTTGTGACCCTGCACGAACAGTCTGAACATTTCCAAACATCTTTGTCTTGCTGATTCATTAAAACCAATTTTTCTTTACTAACTTTGATGCATTCAATATGAAAGCTTTTATGACATTGCACTCTGCAACACTTTAAATATAAAGAATTAATTATCTTCTTATTACATTTATTGCAATCCATTGAGTCCCAATTCTTGTATAATAAAAATTATAAAAAGAAAAACTATATTAAATATATTTGCTGACTGGTCTTGAACTCAGATCACCGATGACGACCACTTTCAGTAGGCGTAACACTGGCGCTGCCACAACGACCGATGGTGGTATGCTTGAATAACTTGTATATTATTATTTTAACGTATGAAGTTTGAAAGGAATGACTAATGCAAAGTAAACGTTTACTTGCTGCAGATCACGTATGCACTTTTTTCTTCTTTTTTTTTTTTCACAAGTTCACATACAAATTCCAAGTGTCTTATATAGAATTTATTACTTTTATTTCACTTGCACTAGAATAGTTCCCGCACTTTTAGTTCTTTTGATAAATTCGAACAATGAATTTAACAAATTAAAACATAAATTTTCCTGTTATATCCACTTCCGAGGAAGGAGATATCTTTTCCTGTGGTATATATTTCACTACTAAAGTTTGTTATTTACGTTTTATTACGTATCTTCAATAATTACTATTTTTAAACAATTTATTTATGAGGACTGGATGTTGACGTTGCGCCTACCCGCAATAAAAAATTATTTAATCTTATCATTAGCCATTGAAGCGTTTAAAATCTCGTAGTTGTCTTTTTTTTCATATTTTTTGAATTATCATTCACCTTGTGACCATGCGTCTTTTCACACATTATTGAATGGATTTTTTTCGCCAACATAAACAATTTATTTTAAAATGCTAACTCAATAGCGATAAAGCGCGCAATTTTTGAAAACTTTTCATATATAATATTAAGCAATTAGTATTTCTTAAATTTGTTTCTTAATAAATAGTTGTAAAAAAGTTTGAATCACATACTAATCACTGACTGGAAAGTATATTCTAGACTTCGTTTTAACATTTTAATTGGCGTTAGCTTATAATTTCTATAAAATAGTTTCGGACAATCTTATTGATCGAAGTGTATTCGACAAATTTTCACTGCAAGAGTAAAAACATTTTGGATTCAAAAAGGGAACTGGCGCCTACTATTTCTTTTTTTAAAATAAGAAGTAGAATCGTAAACATAAACACTTTTTTAGCGTATGATTTATTATTTTCAAAGTTTCCGGTTCTAATGCAATTATTATATTGGAAAGTTTGCGATGCGTTACACACGCGCGACCAAATAAATCACAATCGCATCAGAACAATGGCCGAGATGAGAGGGGTGCGCGCCCCATCTGCGTACCAATCGATATGGACCGCGACTAGCACCATTATCTGACAACCCCGTTCCAAATTCAAACGTCTGACAGAACATTTATTTTTCGAAATAGTTTTTTTTTTACCAAACCAGCCTGCAATTTTATAAACCGGCTAGTGATTTTTTTAAGTGATATTTATGATTCGTGGTATGTGTTAGCTTAAAATGGAGGGGCGGAGGAATTGGGAAGGTATGCCTTTAGGCGAATCGCACTCTCCTCCACAATCAGTGCCAGGCCGAAGGACTCCTTTGGGGGCTGTTGGTCTGGGTGGCTTCTACATGCAAGGAGGCCAGCCTCCGCCTCCACAACATTGCTATCCCACTGATGAAAACCAACCGGAACCAGGCACCAGCTATGGCCAACGGTAAGTTCCCCTTTTAATTGTGCCTTGGAAAAGATATTTTTCTTTGGAATTCCAGTTAAACTTAAGAAAATCCATGTAAATAGAATGTTTATGCGGCTTTGTGTTCAAAAACATATGTTTTCTTGTTCGCGCATGCGCTGATAAGAACGGCATCCCGGTTAGATGCAAAATAACGTAGTTCTATACAACATTGTAACACAGTTTAAATCATTAATAGCGGTTATAAACAGTTTTAATACTACGCGACTTCATCAGTATCTCCTATGAAGACGACTATTTGTTTTTTCTAAGGAGAGCCTTAGAGTTTTGAAATTTTTTTTCCAAATTACATAAATAATACAGGCAGCTAACAATTGTTTTTTAAAGCATTGTTTTTTAACAATTGGGTATTTGATATATATCACCCATAGTGACCATCTGTGCACTACATATTCCCCTAACAATGATATTAAGCACCACAATACAATGATTTTCAATGATCACTGCACTTAATGTAGACTTAACAATATTATAGAGTCGGATTTATGCCTCAAAATACCAATTTAAATGTAAATCTTAAATCTAGAAAACATAAGTTTCGTAATTACGAGAACCTATTTTGTTACATATATTATTTATATTAGAATAAACTAGAATCATTGCAACAATAATTACTTAGACTCGACTGATAACCTACAGAAATAAAATTAAAAATAAATAAAACCCAAAAAAGTAAACCATTTTTCAATTTTATATAGTTTAATACACGGAACACTTACCCGCTGTATTGCGATAATATTTATTATTATTTTCTTCGTATATTTGCCTTTGATAACTATAGAACCAACATATCTATAAATTTAAAGTCTACAAAAGTAACCCCAAACTCCTTTATGAGGGACAAAACGCAACACTTGAACAAGTGTTTAAAACCCAAGTGATTCGTATGACAACCAGTTTCAATAAAATACCAGTTGTCGTTGCTACGAATCGTATCGTATAGGGAATACAATTGCCGATTCGTAGCTATTATAAACATTTGAAAAGCATTATGCTTTTTCCTTTATCAAATTTATCCAGACAATATTTTTACAGCACCAATCGTTGACGAAAACATATTATTGTCCTTTTAAAATGTCTATTTCAATTAATTTATATTAATTGTACATTACAATACATTTTATTATACATAAAATTGTAAAATTATAATACGTTGTTTAGCAGCTATGAGATAAGATTTGTGGGGTAATAACGAAAAACCTCGTTTCGTTTGAATATGTTTGGTCCATAACAGTCCAATCGCAGGCAAAGATGTTATTCCGTTTGACCAATCACAATGTTACGCAACATTTCATAATTCACATCTCACAGTCTAATTGTTGACAGATAAATGCACCATAGTTTTTTGTGTGCGGCTTTAAATTTTTTCACAAAAAAATACATCAGACTAAATCATGGCCGAATTCCCTATAATGACATTAATTTTTCAGGGCACTTGGAGATGGAAAATCGAAACAGAAAATGCGCCAGGGCAAAAACGTGAGGTTAAATATAAATGCTAGAGAGAGAAGAAGAATGCACGATTTAGTAAGTACGAATTTTTTATTCTAATTTTAAACTAATATTGCTAATGGAGATACCGTTATGAAACATTTCCCTATCAAGGGATTATCCAGCGTGCTATAGAATTATTGTAACTTTTTACGACTATGATGAGGCCTGCTTTTTTAATTCTCCAAAAAATTATAAATGTATGAAATTCGTGAACATCAGCGTCTGTACTCTATATCTCCCAATAGCGATTTAAATTTAAATATTTGCTTTTTTTGTACCAAGCTTGCGCTAAACTACATAGACAATGCGTACAGATGTTTTGCAAATATTTATAAATCGTATTTATATTTTCAGAACGACGCATTAGATGAACTAAGATCTGTGATTCCCTATGCCCATTCGCCGTCCGTTAGGAAACTGTCAAAAATTGCCACGCTACTGCTAGCCAAGAATTACATTCTTATGCAAGCCAGCGCACTCGAGGAGCTACGCCGGTAAGACGAAACATTTATCTTTTCTTATATTGTATTTATAAAAAAATATTTAAACACGTATGTATTCCTATACCATAAACGCAATATATATATATTTATAATACCAGTTATATATGCTACGTATGTCTGTTATTTAGCGTAGTCGTAGCTCTATATAAAATCTACGTCTCGTAGCAATAACGAATACTTGTCGGTAGAGAATACGAGAGCTTTAATTAAGTTATACTTCCTTCCCAATACATAATTATATAAGAATCAAATTGCTACTGGACTTGTTACTGTAATGTCAATTTAAATCCTGACCGAATGAATTGTTTTGTAAAAACTTTTTTTTTAAATTTAATATTAAATAAATATTTTTTAACGATTTTCCCTATTTATTTTTTTATAATAAGTGTGGACGGCGTGAACAAACAATCCTTATAATGTATTTCCTTTTAATAAGATAAACACCGTTATTTCAGACTCGTTGCCTATCTCCAAGGAACTGCTACAGCCGCTGGCATCGTCGCCCCACCAGGCTTTGATCTAGCGGGTCTACCCGCAACTACTAAACTTCTTCAGCCACCTTCATTGGGACCACCAGCACCTCCTGATCCACCTTCTTGAGACCCAGTGGTAAAAATGGAACCTCATTGATACTATGAATTGCCGTCTGAAGTATAGAATAGGTATTAAGGAAAATATATGTGTAGAAGTAACTTTGTAGAATAACTGTCCTGTCTCTATAGAAATAGATGTTACCTTAATTATAGTGTTAATCTAGACTTTGGAAATATTTTCAGTGTGAGTAGGATAGCAATGGGTAACCCAGCATAGTTTCTTGCATTCTCTGAATATAAGACAAACTTACTGGGCTACCGATTTCGCTAACTCAAAATTCAAATTCCATGAATCCAAAAGTATATCGTCATATATCTTGATATGACGTTGACAGCTGACAGTGACATTTTGGATATAGAATGCTCTCTTGCTCTATGGCTCTACAGCCCCTAGACGAAATAAGCGATAAAAACTTTGTCCGAGGCGTGATATCGCAACATAAAACAAATGTGTGAATGACATTAGCTGATGTTACTAGGTGATGCCACTATCAATCCTTAGCGTTAGCATGTCAGGCCTTGCACAAAAGTCTTTCCTCAATGCCCCCTATTTTTTTTCTAATTCTTATTTATAAATTTAACTAAAAATGGTGTATCAATAAAAACAGTGACGAAATTTGTGAAAGTAGCAAAAATTATGGGGTAAAAGGAAAAAATACATCACATAAAAAAGGTTATCACCTTTTTCTCTGTCTTTTCTTTGGTTACAAACTGCGATATTTTTCAGCACAGCTAAGAATAGATTATTTTTATCTTTGCATAAAACTTAATTATATTCTCAATTTATTAGTGAGGTGGAAACGAACTATGCTCAGTTTTTTTTTCTTTTTAAGCCGTCCACCAGAATGCTCTTGATGCTTAAGGTTGCTCAAAATTACATTCTATTTTGTTCGCTTGAAAACACTGAAGGTAAAGTGTCAAAGCGGCAAATGGCTACGTCTCTATACTATGTAGTATTATTAGATATATATGTCACCGTAAAATTGTAAATACCGTTAGGTCTATCTCGCGAGATTGTAAAATGTGGAAGGATTGTGAACCTCAACGTACTGCTTACAATTTAACGTATTATTATTCGGTAGATTGTAATCTATCGAAGTGAAACCGTCAAATTGAGGCACGAAACGCACCACGCGCGCTGAATGGTTGAACGGCGTATGTCCCGCGCCACCACATTTATTTGTTAATTCGTTTGTTGTCAAATGTATGCCAATATTTCGCGAGATAGATTACAACCTAACGGTATTTACAATTTTACGGTGACATATATACCAACTTCTTAATACATCCACCACCATAACTTAGACTTAAATAGTAATTTCTATGTCTACGAATTGTAACGGGTGGGAATAATGTTGTATGTAAAGCATTTAAATACCATAAGATTATAAATCTTTTAGTTTTTGATATGATTTATATCATTTTAATTATAACGTACGAAGTACCTAATGCTCATAACAGTCCACAATGCTCATTTTATCCAGTGCTTATTTCGAAGAAATACAACACATCTTGTAGTTATGCAAAATTTCTCACAATTCTACTTTATACGTAGAAGAATTTAATCCATAAGAATGTACATGTTATGTTAGCTTCTAATAATAAAAGTTGTAGTAAGTATTTATAGGAATAATATCTTCTGAAGAAGAAGATACTGTGAATCAATGTGCCAAAAACTAGTAGTTGTATATTAATTAGATAACTTTATATAAGTAGGAGGGGCTCACCCCGCGTGCGTCACAGTCACGTCGTACTCCGCTATAATAAATCATTAAAAATACAACAAACGAATATTCGCGAATTCGGAGTACAAAAACTATAAAGTAGTGCTTATAGTATCAGTGCAAGTGATTGTGAAGGATTTATTAGACTAATTTCTGATATAAACCTAGTAAAACATACAAACATTTCAAAAGTGTAGCAATGTCTAAAACTTGTAAATAGCATTAAAACGATTAAGTAGTGCAATCCTGAAGAAAACTTTTAATAGTTCAAATATCGATCGGTAATAAAGTGATAAACTGACTTCTAAAAGAACAAAAATTCGTTATCGCTTAGTGAAAGTCCTCAACAGTATTATATTGAACAGAAACAATGACTCAACCGGATCGATCTAAGAAAGGAGAATACTACAGAGTATTCGCGAGTTACGAATGTGAAGTTGCGAACTGAACAGAACGCTGCATGAAAATTTGTAACCGTTACCGTACGATCAAATCTCAGGGCGCCATATTATTTCTTACTATTTCTTTGATTTGATATTTTTTATCTCCTCTGTATGGTACCAACATTGCAATTACTATAGCTCCGCAAAACATTTTTACAGAAGGAAAGAAATAAAAAGTAAAAAACAAATCTGATAGACAATCTTCAATTAAATTACACCCTTATCAAAAACAAGTGTGACTGTGTGGCACTAAAACCTAATCATCGCTTATCCTCTGGCTTTTCACAGAGGACTGTAGGAAAAAATAAAATTGGCAAAACATATAGTTAATTGCCTTTATTATACACAAAATTATGGAAGACCAATTTCAATTACGTTCGACAATGAAGTTGGAATTGCAGAACCAAACAACCCAACTAACGAACACAATACTTGATAAAATGGAGGAAAAACTAAGACCTGTCCTCGAAGAAAACCAAATATTGAAAAGTAAAGTAGAAAAGCTGGAAAAGAAAATAGAGCATCTAGAAAGAGATAAGAGAAGCAATAATATAATAATCCACGGTTTGGCGGAAAGTGAGCAGTCAACGTTGGATTTAATCGAGTGCATTAAAAAATGTCTATTGGATGAACTAGGTATAACCTTAGAAAATTATGAAATAAATAAAATCTACCGTATTGGCATAAAAAATAATAATGGAAAACCTAGGCCTACCCTCCTTTCTTTAGTTAGCGGATTGAAAAGAGCAGAAATTATCAGGAACAAAAAGAAATTAAAGGAATTATATATAACAGAAGACTACTCAAAAGAAACCTTGGAAATACGGAAGTCCTTGCAACCCAAACTAATGGAAGAAAGGCAGAAAGGAAACATAGCGTTCATAAAGTATGATAAACTTATTGTCAAAGGAATTCAAGGGCCATAGACAAGAGGAAGAGAGTTAAATCAAACTCTCCGCAAGCAGAATTATTACAACCAAGAAAACAGAAAACACTAATCTCGTCTAGAAATAACAGAATAAATGCATTCGACGTGATGAGAGGCCGATCTCACGAGCATTCAACACTCCCAACAAAAACTCAGCAATAGCAATTATTGTATACCGGCTCAGAAACGAAAGAAACAAAAGTAACAAAAGTATAATAAACACACTCCCCAACTATTCTTCCAACCCGGCTGGTCACCGTGGAAGACTATGACCAAAACCCTCCAAGGACATCATCATCATACCACACAAAACAAGCAATGAAAAAAAAAAAAACAGAGGCAGACCCTACGCTCGATGGGATGATGACATCAAATCGCGGGTCCTCACTGGGTCCAAATAGCTATAGAGAAAGATGGCAAGCCTTGAGAGGCCTTTACGAGAGGGTTCCTGATACTTACTAACTGTAAAAATTATTCATAAAATGAGATAATTGATAATTGTATTAGGAAATTAAGATAAGGCTTAAAATAAAAATAAATAATTAGATAACTATATATAAGTAGGAGGATGTATGTAACAATTACTATTAACAATATCGCCGATGTAGGCACCAAAGTAAGTATAAAAAAATATTAGCGCAACAAAAAACAACAAAAGCTTACATGACTCTAAATAGTAGGGTCATGGCTGAAATGAGTCAAATAGGAATGGCTGTAAATCATTTTGCTAACATTACTTCAAATCAACGGTTTCAAGTTAATCACAGACTATATAACGACTATATAGCTGATATTGTATTCAATTGTCATTGTTATTTAAGAATTCCTATTTTAAATTTTTGAGATTCAACACAAAAATTTAATGTATTAATTTATTATAATTAAGTAGGTCATATAAATAAGTAGTGTGTGTAAATTATACTTAAAAATATATTCCTGAAAGTCACACCTTGAAACACTTGCTTCAATTATTAAGGTAATAATATTCCTTTAAGAAGTAATAAAGATTATTTTGTATGTAGGTTATTTATTACCTTACAGCTAATATTATCGTTTTTGTGTTTGAATTTATTGTATGGGTAAGGTAATTTTGTAGAACAGATTATAATTAAGGGCGCGAAATTTTTATAATACCTAGAAACGTCCATTGGCGCTTTATTTGTGTATTCTAAAACCATATTTATAAAGTTTATATATAAACTATCTAATCAATATTATTTAATATTTAAAACTAAGTCACACGGTTTTTAAAATCCCTTATTTATATATCGAAGCATTTTTGTGTTGCTTGTTACTCACTATTTTATTCAGAGAACTTATATATATAGTAGTCTGTGTCAATAAGTAAAGTAAAAGTCTATAGATTTTCTGAGATTCCAGACTAAATTTTTTTTTTAAGTTTTGGGGTGAGATTCAATAACTACACTTAGCTTGAACGGTGACTATGTCAAAATCCAATACATTTTTCACGTACGTCTCGTTCCCAAATCTTATCCTTAGGACTTTATAAATACCATAATTCCGATACTTTTTACTTGATTCTGGGATATATATTATTGTTTGCTTAAAATGTGTGTATTTCTTTCTATAGATTTATTATTTTAAAGCCAAAGTAATTTGTGATTATAATAAGCAATAAATATAGAATAATTGTGATTAATATTAAGTGTAATATAAATCTAAATATTAATTATTAAATGCGAATAAATAAATAAGGATTTAACATTTTTTATCTTTTTCATTGATATTAAATATATTTAAAGTGTCTGCACCCACGTATCAATAGCAAGCCTCGAATGCTACATTTTTATATTGGATAAAGTTAAAAAAAATATTCTATGATCATGCAACAAGATGTTCTACCTAAAAAGACGCGGGTAAAGTTTTTGAATTCAATAAAAAAAAGTTTACA